CGGAGGGCGGGGCCCGGGGCCCGGAGGCGGAGCCGGCACGGTGGGGACAGAGCCCCAAGATCCGTGGGCCAACAAACGGGAGGAAAACGTGGGTTCTGGAGTCAGACAAGCCTGGGTCCGGGCCTCTGTGTGACCCTGGCTGAGCGACGTGACCTGCCTGGGCTTCCTGTCTGCGTCTCTTGTGATGGGGTGCGGGACTGGGCCCTGGGGCTGTGTGAGGGCTGCACTGAGATCCCAGCTAGCCCGGGGCCGCTGGGTAGGGGGTGTCTGGGCTCAGCCTTTGCGGGGAGCCCCCGCCGAGCCCCTGACCCGTCTCCCAGGTGCTCTTTCTCAGGAACCCAGGGCGGCGGGCCTGGCCTTGCCCTCCCTGCCCTGGGCTGGTGGCCCCTGCCCCAACTCTACCCGCCTTATTTTCCACGACTGAAATCCCGGTGCTTCTCACCACAGCCACCGGGGAGCTCGACTCCTGGGCAGGGCCAGGACTGAGACTCCATACTGAGTCCCAGGCCCCGAGGCCATCTCCCCAGAAGCCTGGTCCCTCCTCTTCCAGGCAGCGGGGTCACAGCAGTACCCTGTGAATGTCCACCTCCCACCTGGGTGGCATCCATCAGGAGAGATGATAAACCAGAAGCACATGCCCATGTCTTGTCTGTGCCAGGGAGAAAACCCCCACACTTGTCCATGCAGGATAAGGAGGGCTGGAAGGGCAGGTGGAGGGTGTAGGAGAGTCAGGTGTTTGAAGAGTGGTCAGGAAGGTGGCATCTAGCAGAGCCCTGAAGGAAGCAGAGGAGTGAGCCATATTCATATCTGTGGGCAGTGCCCCAGGCAGCAGCCACAGCAAGTGCAAAGGCCCTGGGGCAGGAGTGAGTCTGGCACAGACAGCAGAGACCCCTGTGTTAAAGGGCGCAGGAAGGAAGGACAGAGTGGCAGAGGTGTTGGTGGCCATTGAGAGGACGATAGCATTTTTCCTGAGAGTGATGAGGCCACAGGAGGCCTCTAGCAGTGACTTGGCCAGGCCAGGAAAGGTGGGCACTGGGCAGGGGAAGTCTGAGCAGAAGTTGACCAGATCCCGCATCATCCTCTGCAGCTGAAGGAGGAGATGGGCACCGTGGTGTTGGATATCATCCGGAACTACAACGCCAGCAGTCAGGACAGCCTGCAGGAGGCCTGGGACTATGTGCAGGCACAGGTAAGGGGCCTGCATGGCAGTGCCCAGCTGAGGGTCACCGGCCCTCCCTGCACCCAGCAACGCCGCTCTGCTTGGCCTGGCGGGTCTGTGGGTGTCCTAGCAGGGCCAGGGGAGGCTGTGTGTCTTTCGGGGGCACGTGATAGGCTGGGACCCCCACCCCAGAGGTGCCAGCCTTTTTGCCAGAGAGGAGACAGCCAGGCGACTGTAATGAGGAAGCGAAAACTTACTTCCTGAGACCGGCGTGGGGGTGCACACCCGTGACCCCAGCATTGGGGAGATTGAGGCAGGAAGATTGGCATGAGTTCTAGGCCAGCCTGGGCTACACAGTGAAGCCCCCCCCCCCAAAAAAAAAGAGGAAAGAAAGAAATGCTGCCCCTGGCTGGGCTCTTCTGAAAGGGCATAGCGCCCCCTGCTGGGCACTAATCCTGAACTCAGCACCAGGTGGCCTCGAAGCCCTGGGAGTAGTAGCCCACCCTGCTGTCCTCCTGGGAACCCTGGAAGAGTACTGTGAGCACGCAGAGCTGGGAGAGTCCTCCTCCCCCTGGAGGAGACCAATTTCTCCTTCAAAATAGCAGAATTGACCATTTTCACTTTGGCAACCAGGAAGCTCAGAGCAAAATTTCAACCTTAAAGTAGAACTGGCCTGCTGGGCTCTCCAGATCTGTACTTGCCTCAGTCTGGACTTTCAGAGCCTTTGTGTCTCCTTTTATAAGTAAGGAAACTTTATTGGCTTTTGGGGACAGAGTTTCCCTATAGCCTAGGCTGGCCTTCTGTAGCCGAAGTCGGCCTTCAATTTGCCATGATCCTCCTGCCTCGGCCTCCTGAGCGCTGGCATTGGAGGTGTGCGCGATCATGCCTGCCCGAAAGCCACTTCCATCCCTCGTGGCTCCCAGAAGCCAGAGCAGGGCCTAAACTCTAGTCCCGGTGGCTCGGTGGCCCGGGGTCGCGGCCCTGTGCAGGAAGGGGCCGTGGTCGCAGCCCCGTGCCGCCTCCCAGGTGCGGTGCTGCGGCTGGGTCAGCTTCTACAACTGGACGGACAACGCCGCGCTCATGAACCGCAGCGAGCCCACCTACCCCTGCTCCTGTGAGGACCAGAGCGACGAGGAAGCCAGCCTCTCGGCGACAACGGGCTTCTGCAGCCCCCAGAACGTCACCCAGGACGGCAACCACCCCGAGAGGTGGCCGGTGTACAGGGAGGTGAGCGCCATCCCGGGGCCCACGCCCGGGTGCTCTGGGCACAGGACGCGTGTGCCTGACCCGGCCGTGTCCCCTCAGGGCTGCAGGGAGAAGGTGCAGGCCTGGCTGCAGGAGAACCTGGGCATCATCCTGGGCGTGTGCGTGGGCGTTGCGGCCCTGGAGGTCTGTCCCTGCCCTCTCCCCTGGGGTCGGGTGGGGCCCTCTCTGGGCTCGGCCGCCTGCTGCCCAGGCTGTCCGCGGGCACAACTGCCTGATGGACACAGCGGTGGGGCTGGGCCGGGAGGGCCCTCCTGACGCCCCTGTCCCCACAGCTCCTGGGCATGCTGCTGTCCCTCTGCCTGTGCCGGCACATCCGCTCCGAAGACTACAGCAAGGTCCCCAAGTACTGAGGCGCCGCTGTCCCCGCCTCCCTGCCCATTTCCCCCCAGCCCTGGGGGCTCCCAGCTCCCTCCTCCCCGCCTTCCGGAAGGGGGGGCTCTCTGCTCTGCACCCTCCCTGCCTTTCTGCCTCCGCCCTTGAGCCCTGCCGCCCCCTTGCTCACTGCCCGCAGGCCGGGACTCCCCCTGCCCGGAGGCCGTGCCCAGTGTGCGG